AACAGTGGGGAAGATACTATGAGGGTGAGAGGTACTGGAGGATTTTTTTGAGATGACACATAATAGAATAACTAAAATAAATTTGCAAAGAATCTGATATAAATATTAAGTAAATACACATTTCTAAGCTGTCTGTCTTTTGATTTATCTATCTATCTATCCATATAGTCATAAGGATATCATATCCATATTTAGTCATAAAGCTAAAAAATATTTTTAAAATTTCTCATGGCTTACAATATTTTCCTTTTGCTTACAAGTGAGCCTCTATAATAATTGCATTAACATTAAATAGAGTGCAATGGCTGATTCTGACTGCAAATAGAGAAAAAAATTTAAAACTTACTATGGAAAAGGGGCTGCTTTGCCATTTATATCTCCCAAACAATGCAGTGATTCCTGTTTTGATGAACACAAGCTTTACTTATGAGATGCTAAACTGTTTATATGAACCTCATTTATGAATTGATAGAGAGTCAGGATAAGTGTTCGGAAGAATGCTATCCAGAAGACATAAAGGTATCCTAATATTATGTTGGTGTGCAAAGTTTTTGGTGTACAGCCAGATGGAAACCACAGAAAGGTGTTACAGTGTCCTCAACCAGAAAAGCAAGGGAAGGTCAGTCATAACGTTTTAAGTTTGGTACATAGTTTATCCAAAATTATTTTATGTTTTTTGGAAAGCATGAGTAGAAGATAAACATAAATTTAACAGATAGTTTTACAAAATTCATGACAACACTTATTATAGCGGAAAAAAATACTTTCCTGTAGAAATCAAAGTTATCCCATGAATTGGAAATGTTTCTTTTGCAGATTCCGGCTCCACATTTCAGGCTAGCAGTAATAAATTTAGACAAGGAATTTGGATATGATATGGAGCTGCTTCAAATAAATACAGTATGTGTAGATTTTGCATATGTTTAAGGGCAAAGTGTTACAGGGGCAGTGAGTCCCTATCAGGAGGTCAGTTTTATTTATTCCTTAAGCAATGAGATCATGGCTGCTGGGAATTAATCCATTCATTTTGTTATTGTCTGTGCAGTTTCATTTGCTTGCTTTCTTCGTAACTCCCTTGAAATTTTTACATAATCCTAAATAGTCCTGCCAGCTCCCTTCTCCCCTCCCCCCTTTATCTGCACATACTTTGTTAGATTACATTTTACATGCTTTGAGGAAGATGAATGGGGTTAACACACACCCAGGGTACAAAGCTGCCTTTGTATATACTTGCATTTCTTTGAGATCAGAGCAGGAACCAAATTCACTGAGTCATTCTTTAGTCCTGGCCTTTGCTTAGCCCTGAAATAGAAGTTGCCGTGTTGGTGATGGTGTTCTTCACTCATCAGAGCAGGGTTTGCCTTGCTTTTCTGTGGCTGTGTGGACATCTAGACCTAAGCAATGTCCCTAGGGCTCCACTGTTGATGTCCACAGTTGATGAACTTCAGACAATTCATAGATGTGATTCCTCTGTCTTATTTTAAACATCTAGTTTAGGATGAAGTTGCTCTCTAAAAGCGCCTAATATCTTTTTTACTATAAAGGGACTTTAGGTTACTAATTAGGATACTGCAGATGTGATTCAACTGAATCTCATCTTTTGTCCCTGGACAGAAAATCACCAATTTTCTATAATGAAAAATTCTAATTAAAAAAAAAGTCTAATTTAATTAATGCTTGTCATGGTCTACAGCTTCTTTTCATGTCATTTATACTTACAAGTATAAATGAGATCCTTAACATCTTAATCTTAACAGTTAAGATTGTTAAGAATCTTAGGTTCTTAAGGTCTTAAACTCTGTTTATTGGGGGGAATAGGTTTAACAATACTGTAGAGAAAAAAAGCAAAGCTATTTTTGCTATTTATAACTGTGAAAATACCTTAAAATTGGGATATTTATAACTGTGAAAATACCTTAAAATTGAGTCTGGCAGACTCATCTTGGTCTGCCAGAAAAAGACCTCATGTTTTCTTCTAATATTGGAAACTTTGTACTAAACACATGAGCACTCAAAAACAGTATTACATCAAAGGCCTCAAGTTTGCTATGCAGACTTGGTTCAGATTAATGGTTACTGCAGAATGTATGGTATGTTCTATAAGAGGTGGGTAAAAATGATAAAAATTCCCCGTATGTCTGTACTTTATAGCCAAATCAAGTATTACATTACAAAAGCTATTGATCTTTCCCCAAGTGGCATTTTTATTTTCTGTATAAAACTCTGAGTAAGCTTAATCTTTGAAAATGCTTACCCTTAAAACCCTTTTTTTCTTTGCTTACCAATTCAAGTGATTCTCAGAAGAGTATATACATTTTTCCTTTATGTAACAAGAATTTTGAGATAGTGACAATCCTCAGATAATTTCAAGATACAGAAGGCTAAAAATGTGTTTTCAGCATATTTTGCAAGCTCTTCAATATTGAGCTACCTAGCGTTTTATTTCTCAAATTATTTTTTTATTGGTTTTGTTTTTAAATCTAGGTAATTTTTGACCTACCACCCCAGAACTGTGAGGTACAGCATACGGTGCCCTGTTAGTCTAGTCTAAATAATAAAAATAAATAAATAAATAAGATTTATTTAGCGTACTGATTTAGTAATGCCAGCCTTTGTAGGGCAGCTTTGTTTCTCCCTGGCTTAGTCACCTACCTCATTCGAAGCCCTGATGGGTACACAACGAAGAGGTCTTTAGTGAAGGAGATCAGGAAATCACGCCACAGTATGAATATGCAAGCAGTTTGGGATGCCAACATCGTCATCGTTGACATTGTTGCCAAACACAGGGGTGTCCAGCCATGCTGCGTACGTTTCTCAAATGTTCCAGCTTAGCAGCTACTCGGCACATTTCCTTCAAACACGAAATGGTTGGTCAGCAAGTTAACGTTTGGCCTCTTGCCTTCCCCCCCACACAAAGAGCTTTATATGTCAAGTGTCAGAGCTTTAAAATGGAATTGAAAAAAAGATTATTTTTCATCCTGGATGGTAGGCGACAACATGTGACTCTTTACCTTTTCTTTCCTTTCCCTTTTTAGTCTTCTTTTTTAGTTCTTCATGCTGAAAGAAAGATATAATGCAACACATTTTTGGAAGACTAAGCATACATTTACTGTGCCAGGTCCTATCTACTGCATCCTTCAGCATGTTCCAAGGAAAGCATGCAAAGTATTTTAACTGTGCTGTACGCCACATAACTCAGCTTCTTAACTGCTTAGAGTGACTCCTACTACTATAGAGGGTGCAAAACCTATATATTTTTTAGTCTTTTGATAAACGAGGGGGGCAGTGCCACTGATCTCTTTTATGGTAGCTGTTTTCAAGCTGAGATTGCTTCAAGGTGGCGTGTCATGAGGGGTTTCAGTGTTCCTTCATGTAGGAAAGGTTCCCCATAAACTTGTTTTTGTACTGATGAAAGAGGACTTCAGTCCTGTTGGAGTGACTTGCTACTCCTTCCCAGAACAGAATTTGGAAAATTTCACTTCTATAAAAATGAAGTTGTTTCTCAGTTAAAACATCCTTACTTTCAAGAAAATCTAGTTGAGAATAAAGACTGTGATGAATAGCAAGTGGGTACTCTGTAGACTTAAAAGAAGGCATTACTTACAAGTTGTAGCATTTTCACAAACTTCCTGAGACTTCGCCAGCATTGAATGCCATTTCCTTTAAACTGTTTTGGCCTGGAGTAACACCGTGTTCACATTAATGTGCTCTCTCTTTCTTCTCCCTTTTTATTCCATGTTATTGATTCATTTTGAGTTTATAAAATATACCTGAGAAACATAGAGATAAGGGAACGTTATTTTTTTCCAAAGCGGAGATGATGTACGAGAAAGTAATTAGTGTTTATAATATTGAGAAGCAAAGAGGAAAGATGATCTGCTGTTGTCTTCTGCTTTGCTGTTTCCTTAAAGATTATATACTTATGCTATCCATCTGGGTTTTTTTCTCCTGCATTTGCTGGTTATTTATAGACGATTCTAAAACTGTATGGACTTGCTGCAGAAGTAAAGTCTCAGTGCCATCAGCCGCTCCTGATACCACTTTGCTTCCTTAGTTATGGTTCTGTTCTTACCAGGTGTAATGATTTATTCATGGAGTTATTGTTTGGAAGATAGTTATATTCCTTTCCTTGATATTTAAGACAATCTGCTTTCCTTCTTTGAGAGACTTGAGTAAGCTGTCTGCTTCTGAAGAGGATAATCATTCTCTTTAATCTAACTACCTCTTCCTGCCTCTGATATGTGAAGGATTTAATCTTTTCTAGAGACCAGATCCTTCCCTTGTGAAAATCACCTCTACGCTGTTGAAGTAAACAACATTCAAGCACATGCAAGCCTAACTATGAACTGGAGGGCTGCCATTTTTTCTTGAATGAGCTCTACTTCCATCTAGTTTCCTTTCTTTTCCTGTAGGTGTTCAGAAGTATAAAAAATCAAGCATACATTGACTGTGCAAAATAAAATAAAATCAACCAGACACATTTACCACTTAGTTATGGCTGTGTATTGAGTGTGGGAAGGGGCATATTAATGATAACCTCTGTCTGGTACATCCTTGAGGTAATGGAATTTATTTCTTTGCGTACTGCTAGTGCTCCCATTTTAAAAGCACACAGTTTCAGTTCTGCTCAGTGCAGAACACATTGGCCTCAGCTCAGGAGAATTTTTAACTTGTCTGGTCATCTGTAAACACGTTTCAGTGTGCACCTCGCTCAGGGTGAGAGCGCTCAGCACCTTTCCCAACTCAGCCCTCATCACTGTCCTAGGTGTGCAAGCAGATTTTTAAAAGAAGAATTGACAGGCTCCTCGGGGAAATTTAACTCACAAGACTAATAACCAACCTGTGGTTTTTATTTCTGCTTCTTGACTTGTTCAATGCATGTTTAATTTGGGAGGGTTAGTTCAAGGTTGTGGCAGGGGCGCTTTGGTGCTATAATTTCCGTTGTGGAATGCAGTTCTTGTTGGAATAAGGTACATCATGTGCTTCTACTCTTTTGTCAGAGAGCAGAAAGACAAACACGAATGATGGACTCGGTCCAGTACGCAGAATTTTGTGAAAGTCGGCAATTGAGTTTTTGTAAGTATAATAATGGCTGCACTGTATTAACACGTTCGATTATTATTTCATGTAATAGAGAACACAGCAGAACCTCGTGTTTTTTGAAAGCACTTTTGTTTCATCCGCACTAATAAAACTTTAAATTCTTTGTCTGCATAACTCCTGGGAACAGTTAATTGAGCATAGTTTCAGGCTGTCAGGCAGAGTATTTTATTTGAGTATTTACCAAGCTTTCTATGCGCTCAAATACTGTGCCAGTGGGGACTGCTGCAAAGATGGAACTGGTAAAGAGTTAAAGAATTAAAAGAACCATGCTTGCCTGGAGTCTCTCGTGGTGGTGTTATAGTCAGCATATTAGTAAAGTTCCATGGTTGCAGGTTTTTCGGAATGCATCTAAAATTAGAGAAGAGCAGCGAGTTTTGCTTTTATTTCCCTATCCGCAGAGACACAAAGAACTTACTAAAGAGTCTTTTCTATTTTAAGCTGTAAGCTCCTGCTGTGGAATTTATTCAACATTAGCCAAATTCATCAGTATACGCCATTCCAACACTAATAACATGATGACAGAATTAGGGCTTTACTAGCACTGAAAACCAACTTACTAGAAGTACTTGTGGGCCACAACTATAATGAGCTGTAAATTAATGGGCTTGATCATGTAGCAAAACATCATTACAGAAGCGGTTAAGTGATGACTAAGGTTTTAGGTCAAATGTCAGAGAAAGTGAGGTGAAGGAGCCAGTAAAAATCATGACAAAACAGCACATGATCCTACAACACAGACTTGAACACAATGGTGTCTTTAAACGAGAGACCTTATCTTGTTCTTCCTTTTAAATTCAAAGAAAGAGTGACTCATTTATGGCAAATAAATGACACATTTGAAATACTGTTCTGTATCAGCAAATGTCAGTAAATGTAGGAAAACATGTTTTGTAAGCATTTCTTCTCTTAATTCAATATGTTTTGTAAGCTTTGTTATAATTTGGCATCACACATCTGTGAGCCATTAGATAAATGATACTTCAGATTAGGGTGACTTTAGGAAATGAGAGGTTTGAGATAAGGTCATTTTTAAAACCCCGAAATTATCATCTGGAGACAGAACAAATAGAAATCTTAAATTTGTAAAATAAAATTGAATGTTGCTGATGAGGGGATTGTGATCTATAAAAATATCACAATGTTATTTTCGCAATGTTTTTAAATGAACATGTCTATATAGCTCTTTTTCACTGACATTTAGTGTCATTAAAGAATAAGACAATTACAGTGCAAGAGAGACTCATGCACACATTCAGTTGCATAATGTGAACTCAACTAGATAGAACATACTAAAGGCCATGCAGAACATTTGTGAGAAAAATAACACAAAGACTATTTTTTACTTATTTTATTTTAGTAAAAATTGAATGTAGTGCTACGTTTAAAGTACCAAACCCTTTTTACTGTAATATAAACCCATGAAAACTGTCATAAGGAGCTAAACCTGGAAGGGGCTTGAGGAAGCCTGTTCTAACAATATATATTCATACTTTCATCTCGCCATATTTCTGTGCAGTTTTAAAGACAGGCAACAGAAATGGTTTATCAAAGGATCAAGTACTACAGGATTACAGATTTAAATTTTAGAGAACATTTTGTGGGGTCCTGCTGTCACCTTCACACTTTTTCTCTTGCCTTTTTTTTCCCCTTTTTTAATTTTTCTTGAGCAATCCTGTGTAGCTTTTTCACTCGCTCCTAAAAAAACCCCGTTATTTACACCTGTTTTCTGTTTAATACCTGAATTCTCCTTAGCTTTTTAATCCTTATTGAAGACTCTCTGTGAAAGAGCTATTACAAATGATTCTTCCACCTCGTATTTACTTCATTTTGGTTGTCCTGTCTTCACAAACAGCCCTCATTAAGACCTCTCTATTACTAGCTCCTTTCTGTCTAAGTCTCCATAGCTTCCTGTGATCAGCTTGTCCACCACTGACCTAAGTAAGATCCTCCTTTTTTTCCTTCTTTTACTCTCTCAGCAAATATCATGTTTCTTTGTCCCGTATTTTTCTCTCTATTTTCTCCTAAGTGATCTCATCCGTTAGCACTGGGAAGTTCTCTTATGAATGTTGATCACTTGCAGATCTACATCTATCCTTACTTCTTGGTATCCAAAGCACATTTTAAAAACACTCATCTACAAATCATTTTGGCTGGCTTGTCAGCACCTAATCCCTGCATGGTTAACACAAGGACTTCCTAGTTCTTCTGTCCTCCTTCATTTGTCTTCACTGTTGTTGATGCAATTATATCATTTTATCTGGACTCGGATTTGTGTTGATTTCTTCTAGTGCTTTCTCTCATTCATCAAAAATGTCATGCAATCAGATAATTTCTTTTACAATAACATGTTCAAAATCAGGTTTGTCCCATCTGTGGTCCTCCGAGGTAGACCTTTCCTTGTTCTGAAATCTCTCATATGATTGATTAACTGTGTGTTTTTGTCTTTACTCCATGCTGATTTTGGGTCTCCAAAATGTTATATATGAAATAACAGTCTTTTCCCCACTAATTCCACTTTGATAATTCCTTCCGTGGCCAATCAAATCACATTCACATTTGTAGTTTTTTCTATGACTGGAAAAAAAATTGCATTGGTTTTGGCCTACCTGTTGTTAACTTTTCCTTTTTCCTTTATATTTTGAACCACCAGCAAAGAAAGCATCCAAGTTTCGTGACTGGTTGGACTGTAGCAGTATGGAAATAAAGCCAAATGCAGTTGCAATGGAGATTTTGGCATATTTAGCATATGAGACTGTGGCACAGGTAAGGAAGTGTACTGACTGGACTCTAGTGAACCAAAAGGAGTTAATTACTCTTGGATGCACTTCAGCCTCAAGTGACTTGTTGAAAGCCCTTTGAGAACCATACTTCAGCTAACCAAGCTAACTGGATTCCTGTCTGCCTTTCAATTCACTGTATGGCAGATGTTTACTATACCGTATTCATCCATCTGATACACAAATAGAAGCGTTTTAGAATGGTTACAGTGGAGAGTGGAGTCCAGCACGAACTTTATTCAAGTCCAAACTGAAACCACATACTTTGCTATGTGACCTTTGGCAGTGCACTGGGGCTCATTCAACCCCATTGCACAATTGGATTAAAAAGCAGGATTTCCTGGAAAACAAAACGTTACCTTAGTGCCAAGCCAAGCCCTCTTGGGTAGATAGATTACTCCATATATTTACAGAACTGGAAAAGAGAGGTTCCTTAGGCTGAAATATCTCTGAATAATTTTGTATTCAACTCAGAAATGCTAAGAATAATTTGTCTCAACCCACAACTCCTCTCTGTTTTCATTGTTACAATGGCATTCGTCGCAAATACCATGTCAGTAAACCTACCTGTTTGTTGTCTGGTTTTACCCCTCCAGTTGGTGGACTTGGCCCTTTTGGTTAAGCAGGACATGGCTCCCAAAGCTGGTGACCCATTCAGTCATGCCATATCTGCCACCTTCATACAGTATCACAACACTAATGAGGTAAATCTTACTTTTTCACATATTAATGCACTTTATGTTTTACTTTTACATGTATTTGGTAGCTTGTTGCTTTCACTGTAGATAGTATTGACTCTGGTATTGATACAGACCTCTGTTATGGATTTTATTGACATTAAAGTTACGGGTTTAGATGGAAAGACATTAAATTATAGCTCCAAATATTAAATTCTTAGCAGCATGTTTAAATGATGATTTGGAGGTTAAAGTTGTCAACAGTGGCAAGTGCAATAGGTGCTGTATTGCACGTATTGCTGCGATACAGATATTATAGTAATCTCTATAGTGAGTAAACTTAATTCTGTATTAACATGTCTTCCAACAGTAAATCTAAGAAGGCAATAATTAATTCTTTTTGGTGATTTGATTAAATAATGGCTGTATGACATTTTGCTTTCATAGCAACATCTCGTAGGGCAATCTGCAAGTGTGAAGACCAATCTTGACTCTCCTGAAAACACACCACCTCCTACACCCACACCCCCAGCTACAGCAGGACAGCAACACCTCGGGAAAACCCCATCAGGAGCCCTGGGGAATGGTGGCATTGGACAGGACTCTACCAAATCCAAACAAAGGAAAAGAAAAAAGGTATTTGGTGCACAATCCTGAAAACATCAAACAAACAAACAAAAAGCCCGAACCAAAACATGGAAATAACATGTTTTATTTTAAATATTCCATTTAAATTATATCACATGTTAACTACCAATTTTATTGTAAGGCCAAACATATGGTTTGGTGTTCTTTCTGCCAGAGTTAGGATAAAGCTTCTCAGCAAGGCCTGCAAACTGAATTTTGTTGAGGTAACAACAAAAGCTGAGCTGCTCCTCTACAGCAACAGCAATAGACACCATCCCAAATAATCGTCCCCTTCTCTGACAGTAGCAGTTAGTGTAGGTTTTGAGGGTCAAAGCATAAGCAGAGTAGGCAAAGAGGTGGTTATGATTTTCCTTCATCCAGCAGCATTAGGCATCTGCCTCTTTGCCTAGAACAACTTTGCCTGACTTGCTTTATTTTTATACTAGTTGGTTGCATTCAATCTAAATATTTGTTTTCTTTGCATAAAATATGGACGTCTCATATTCAGAGTGTGAAATGTAAATATTACAATTCCTGTCTTCTGTTGTAGATCCTTGGTATTCTATCTGAGAGGGATATACGTACCTTAAAACCACAAGGGAAATAGATTTGATTAAATTTGATAGGAAGCACTGTGTGAGTCACTTAGGGCTTTTTTTTGAAAAAATGTGACGGCAGCACTCATTTCACTGCAGAGCAATGGAGTGACTTGTGATTTTCTGTTGTGTGTTATTACTCTTCTAAAAAAAATACTCATTTTTCACAATTGAACCAGTGATTTTTACAATAACAGATAGAAAAAGATTTTTCTCCTAGTGTCATCGATGCTGTAGATATCTAATACGTTCAACTTTTTATCTGCCCTTATTATACTGCATTTAGAAAGCCTTTAGTGAATGCTAAAAACCTCTCTGAAAGCTTTTTCTTTTTGTCCTCCTTTTTTATATTACGTTTAATTATGTTTTGTTTCTGTGGCCAATTTCCATTATAATTCCTTGGAACAAAAATTTAGGTGGAGATGTAGTTTTTGATATGTTATATTTCAATTTTCAATTCTTAAATGTTTGACTTAATGCCTTTTGAAATAATTATATTCTAAAAAGTGCACCATTTTAATGAAATATTCCCATGACTTATCCAATTTGGTTAGGTATATACTGGATATAACTGAGGCATCGAGACAAACAAGTTAACGTGGTGAAGAGTGTTATTCTTAGTCCATGAAGGCCCAGCCCAGCTGAAAATATTTGAGTTTCACATTCCCTTTATGAATGTCAATCAGCAAGGGAAGAATCTGCCATCGTATTATGAATAATTCCGTGTGTACACACAGGCTCCAGTCGACTCAGCACTCTTGAAAATAAAACATTTTCAAAATAATATCCCAAGTTTGACAGCATTAGTATAGAGTGTAAATGTATGGGAGAACCATGAATGTGTGTACCTTAAATTTCAGTGTATAATGTAAGGTTTTGTCATTCCTAGTACATTCACTAATACAGTTTTCATTAATTTATTACCAAAGAGCCATCTTTCTGATAAGTCATGTGAATTCTGGCAACCAGCCGTGCTTAGATGGAGCCTAAACCAATATTTCAGTTTGACTAGCAAGGAGAAGAGAGTAACATTTTCTTCTAAAATCCTGGGGATATTTTTGTGAAGTTGATGGACCAGTAGCAGTGAATTCTTATTTTTCCTGTTTAGCGTCCTTAATCCAACAAGTCATTTGAAATTTGAAAACATTCCAGTATGAGGTAATTAAAATATTTTTGCATCCCTCTAACACCATTATGTGACGTGTTTAATCTTCAAATTTCAATCTGATATTACTCAATGGCGATTTTGGTGTCAAATTGCTTTCCACTTTGGGTACTCGTTCAATATTTTCCCTACCCCTTGACATCATAATGAGAGCCTGAAATGTTTTAAAAATAGTTTCTGTGGTTATTGCAGTATGACTTATATGACCCTTTCATTTTAGTTTGAACATTTTCTGCTCTTTTCAATTGCAACATACAGCAGCACTAGGTGAAAGATTTAAGAGGACAAATATGGTGTTCTTTGGGTCTCTTAAGCAAAGTTCATGTAAAAGTCCTCTTTGATTTGTTAATAGCTTTTTTTCTCTAATGTAGTGTGTGGCAGCAATGATGTGTATCCTCAGGAAAAAAAAAAATTGGTCCATTTTATAAAGGTTTATTTTCATACTTTATGCACTGTAGGTCTGTTGTGTGTTTTTGATTTAGTAACAATTTATGTGTTTTTCTGTTGCAGAGCACTGCAGCCTGTGGTATAGAGGCTCAAAGCGATGCCATCCAGCCCAGCCACATCAGAGAGGCCATTCGACGCTATGGCCACAAGATTGGCCCCCTTTCCCCATTCACAGTACGTAATAACAGAGTTATAAAAAGTTATATTTATAATCTTAAGGAACTTTGATTTTCAAGTGGTCAAATGAAGAAGCTTTGGAATTGTTGAGAGCAATTTGTGGTGACTGTAATTTTCTTTATAAAAGTGGCATAATTCTCTTGGGAAATAAAACTTAGTAATTTCTGTCTCTTTTTGGAAGGACAAAAAAGTTTTTTTTTTCTTTTAAATATTATTTTCTTTCAATTACAAATTATGCTTTTTTGTTAGTGCTTGAATTTTCTGTTTTTCCAAAGTTTAGGTTTACAGTTATTTTAAATTATATGTATTCCAATATGGTGAAGAGCACTTTATATTCTAAAATTAGTTGTGTGTCAGATACTGTTCCTATTGGAAGTTGAACTCTCAAGTGACACATTTACAGTTGGAGAAAGAAGAGAATGGTTTCTTTAGACAACTTTGAACCTCCACTAAAATGTAATGGAACTGAGCTTGTGGTAAAACACTGATGGGTTATGAGGTTTTGCCATCATTCTTTCTATGCAAATTGCAAATCCATTGTTCAGAGCAGCCAAACGAATTCTTTATTTAATATTCTCATCTGATACAAATGTGAAAGTAGTCTGTCTCCAATGTCATAAATTGGGGTCATTTTCTTCTGTTCTGCTGTTCTATGTGGCATATATCCTTGCTTACCTCAGAATATCTATGTTTAGGAAAGAATGAATATCAAAGAAATCATTATAGGAAAAAAAACCCCAACAAACAAAAACACTAAACTAGATCTCAGCTCTTAAAAATCAGGAAGAAATTTTCCATTTTTGGAGGGATTTTAGGAAAGGAAAATTATTCTTAATTTGGAGGAAATTCATCTTCAGAAAAATTATGCACAGTTATATGAAGACCATAAATATCAAAACAATACTGAGACTTGATCGCAGAAGGGAGGAATAAGAAAAAGTAAGAGTAAATGAGTATGTGAAGTTATAATTTTCCAAGTGTTAAAACTGATCAATGCTTTTATAAATGGCAGTAAATGTTTGGTTTATTAATGATAGTTGATACGTATTTGCAATGAATTATCTTTACATAATTTTACCTGTCTCTTTTGCCACTCAAAAATGTTAATTAATATCGTGTAAAGCATAGAATAGAATTTCTAGTCCAATGTGGAGAAGTGTCTTTAGCAGAAGTTTGCTAAGAGATGTAGCTAAGAACACGACAATAGCTTCTGAAAGCAGAGAATGTATCTAATTTTATTATAAAGCAGTAAAGAGCTCACATAAACGGTTACAGAGAGGTAAGTCTTTCTTCGCTGACCCTCACTAAAAGTCACTTGGTTAATTATTAACCAAAGTAGAAATTTCTCTGCAACCACCAGATATAATAAAATACTCTGGTTTGGGTTGGGTTTTTTTATGCCCTGCTATCTTGTGAACTTCCCAAACAGCACGACTAACTGAAGAGTTTAATTTGTTGACATTATGTACTGTCAACGTGGTTGATGAGATGAACAGATCTTGTTCCCTCTAAACAAGCCAAGAACAAGAGAGGGGATCTTGGGTCATCTGCTAGATGTGTACAGATGTTGTAGAGCTGTAACACGATGCCTTTTATAATAGGAAAGTTCAGGAAATGGATTTTAAGAGATATTATAGACTATGCATTTAGGTCTGCCAATCTGCCTGCTTTTCTGGTCAGTGCCCTCACTGGCAATTTTGGGGACAAACATCACTATCACAGTTGGCCAAGAAGAAAGTACCTCAAACTTCCTTTAAGTTCCTTACAAATGCAGAAAACATGAAGGTAGATTGATGCTTACCTTGACCCAACCATTTCATATTGCCAGACTATCACGCTGATGGATTAAAAAAATGCTGTCTCTAGGCATTTTGGATAGTACTGTGGCAACATTTCTTTTGAATTACTTCTTCTTTCTCCTTTTGCCACTGCCTTCACAATAGTTTCTTTGTGTATCTGTGTGACCTCCTATGCAGGATGACAGAACCAGCAGTAAAGCTGGCTTTACTCATTGTGCTTCTCATGATTGTATGGTGACACACAACTGCAGAGAGAGAAATATTGTATCTGTCATTAGATTCAGTCATGCTTTCAGCTGTTTCCACCCTTAAAATTAACCTAAACTTCATGTAAAGAAGTTAGGAATATACATTTGCACACCATCTCTTCCATTTCTCTTAAGCTTGTTGATCATCCTTCCACATCAGTTTGGAGTTATAGTCAATAGGTGCCCTGACAGAGTTGGCTGTAGGTAAAGGGGAAGGATATTTCTGCACATCCAGATATTTTGCACTGAGTTTTCTGATGTCAGTTTACTGTTCATGTTCTACTAACATAGAACATAACAGTTCTAATGCAGAGGCAAGGAAAAGCATGAGTGTAGCACACTGAAGAAACAACCATTTTTGTGAGCTATATGCATGTTCAATTCAGTCACTCAAATATATAGATTCGACTGAATTTTAAGAAAAAGACATTGTTCTACAATTTTACAACAGTCACAAGAAAAAAGTACAAGTCTGCTAATGCCAAAATGCAATATTACTCCAGTATAAGTTTATGATAATTGTACAGGAAGAATGTAAAAACAGTCCTAGAAACCTGACCATGTACATAACTATCCCAAATTACATCACGCGTGTTAGGAACATACAGGAAATCCGATACGAGGAATAATAGGCAAAATAAGTTATCCAAAGTATTCAACAACAGTTTTGTTTTAGTAAAGGCCATTGAGAAAAGGCTGGGGAAAGAAAAGGGAATCACTTTAAATGCTTTCCTGTCTTCCAAAGCAATATTACATGAACTTTACCATAGTAAAATTATTGGAATTTAATAAATTATTTTAATTTTGTAGGCCTGTGCTATTCTGAAATTGTCTTAGATATGTGACTGTTGAGCAGGAAGGAGGATTTACAGAAGAATTGTACCCTTGCTGTACATTAGTAAGAAATAATGGACAGCCCTGGACTATTTTTTCATTTTAAGTAATTTCCATCTCATTCCAGCCAGCCATACAAGGCAGAGAGCAAACATTTTCTTTTTCATTTGGGAAATTATTTTTAATTTAGCTAGAGTTGGTTTTTGGCTTTTTGCCATGCTGCCTAGTGTGAGGCATTCAGTAGTCTCCCCGAAATGTATCAGTGTATCATTTTTAAGGTTTATGATTTAACAACATTGAGTTTTGGAAGACTTTATCAATAGTACATCTAGAGAAATGAATAAAAATCTGGACCTGCAAAGTATATTATAGTATTTCCCCATTTAAAAGTGTGAGATACTATAAAATCAATGTTCTCGTATGAAATATCCAATGCAGATGATTGCATTTTAAACCAAAACCAGACAATGTTCTAACTGCCCTTGATATTAAAATGCAGATTTTATCAATTCCCTTTCTTTTTTTGGTCTCCCTGCATTTTTAATCTTTTTTTTTTTTTCTTTTTTCATCACTGTTTTATCATTTCTCTGATGAAACAGGACTTCTCAGTTCTTAGACTAAAGTTAATTTCTGCACTGTCTGGAAACTCACCCTCAGTAGTGGCAAGACCCATATGTAATTACAGAGACAGATGAAGATATAGGTATTTGACTAGATTACCCGATAGGAAACCATCCTTGTTTTCTCCAGATGCAAAACCACACTCCAAAAATGCGAAAATCCCCTACCTCCCTTCTCCTCCGTGGGCTTACAGGAAGGGATCTACTTTGCTTTTTGACTTGATTGACATGTTTTTCAGTGGTGACTCGTTCATATTTGACCCAGGTACTTGCCCATGCACACCTAAAGCTAACTCCCCAGTAGGGCCTCTGTCTTTGAGTCACTTGCCATCAAGACTGTGATGTATGAGGCCTTGATTCTGCTCAACTGAACAAAACTTACTTGTTTCCTTGGCTTACAAGGGAATATGAACTGATAGGAGAGTCATCTTCTGGTCTTGTATTTATCCTACCAGTACACTGTTTATAAAAACAATATAGGAGAATATGTTATAAAAAAACAAGCAAACAAACAAACAAAACAAAGCATATTCTTTTGGGACTATTTTCTTAAGATGGTTAATATATATTTGTGAAGGATGAACAGTGACATTTTCTGACACCTTTCCCTTTTTTGATGTTTCACCATGACCATCCCTCTCTTCCGTCTGATTTGGTGATAAGTGGTCCTAATAAGGTTTGGAAGAAGAGTTAAGCTGTGCATTTTATTCTTTAGCAGCATTTGATGGATGTTGGTTTGGACAAAAAGAGCACTTTGAAAGTTTTATAATCACATGGTAAATGAGGACTAGCATTAAACTAGTGAAAATGATCCGTTTGCATTTATTTTGACCTTAATAGCTATGTCAAAATGACTAACATAATTAGAGCATTTAGGTTTTGTTTCCAAGTGCAAGCCACAACGGAAAGCAGCAAGTGTACTCTAGATTCTTCTGCATTGTATTATGCCTAAGGTAGTCTAGACAATATATATTTTATCCATATATTCTCTACTAACAGTATTAGGTGGTACTCAGTATTGCCTACTTTAAAACATGGTCCAGACTTCCAAGGAGCAGAGAAATAAATAGTTGATATTAAGAAAAATAACTCTATATAATTTTGCAAGTAGGAAATATGTAACTTTTCATTGTGTGGGATGATGCACTTCCATGTGCTGTAGCCAAACCTATTTCTCTGTGCTCTGTGCATTTAAGTTAAGGAAGTACGGCATGTTATGTGTATTAATTCATTGCAGTCTAAATCTTGCTTCCTTGGTGAAGGAAAATGGGAAATTTGTTTACATAGGAATAGCAGACATTTTATATTTAGAGATTAATTTATATTTTGGATAAGAAATTAGTATATTTGAATATTGTAACGGTTTTATATAACATCTACTTGTAATTTTACTCTTCCACACATGTTCTTTTTCTTATTATTAATTTAGATAGTTAAGGAGTAGTATAATTCTGAATGCCGAGTCATTAAACATCAGTTCAGTCTATCTGAGGATC